CTTGTGCGAGTTTGTTTTAAGACCGTAGCCTTGAATACCCTTTTCGTCTCCTGGTGGAGATGTTGGAGACTTCGTTTTGGCAGAATGCCTCTGGAGAGGAATTAAAACTTGCGGTGGCAAGTTGTGCATAAAAATCGAAGATTTCGATTCATAGTATCCTGTTGGATCTTTCATGCCATAGGCCTGTAGGTTACAGACCTCATAGCTGATCTTATGATTAGAAAACAGGCGTTTTGCTTCTGGTGAAGACCAGAGCCTGCTGTAGTATGGGTTCTCAAGAACAAAGTAACGTCCGAGCTTCATTTGGTGGTCTGCGACCGATTCACAGAATTTTAAAACAGAAAGTCTCTTGGCAGAGCCTTTCTTCCACTGTGAGTACCAGCTAGACCACTGAGAATGGTCCGGTGACATAACAATAATAGTAGGTTCTTGTTCCTTGATGATCCTAAGAAGATTGGAGCGACCTTGCGGTTGCTCAAGATCTAGACCGCTACGCAAATCGACTGGCTGACCTACTCGAAGACCTGATAGGGCAGCCTTGTGACTCATGCGGGGAGATCCGCCGTAGAGTTCTAGAAAATCAATCTTCCCAGTACTGGTGACCTGCCAGTGACACTCTTGATGTGGAATCGTTAGGTCTGTCGACTGCAGGGAAGCATCGAAGGTGACCATGCAACTTGCGTGGTCAGAACCTTCTGACGTCAGAGTTTCCTCATCAGGCGCGAGAGGAATCTCCACATCAGATGTTATGTCATAGTTTTTCCTCAGTTTTGAGATATTGACACGGACGATGCGTGTTCCAAGATCCACACCTACCATGGATCCTCCGAGTTCGGAGATCACCTTACCTTTTAGCCAAGATCCATGTTTGGACCCAGTGGATCCAATCTTAGACTTATCTTCTGACCAGTAGAAAACCTTATCTCCCAAAGAGAAAGGTCCTTGGGTCATTGACAGTCTGGCTGCAAGATCTCTACGCAGATCATCAGATTGGCGTGCCTCTTGGTAAGCCCTGTTGGCAAGCTCCTTAATGGCTCTCGCAGTGACTTCCGTATCAGTTGGATTACCTGTCAACTGATTGGGATCAGCGTTCTCTGGTGTTATAACATCTCGAGGACGCCTTCCAAAGGCCATTTCTAAAGGAGTAACTCCTCCGTAGGTAATCGAAGAGTTTCTTGCCAAACATGCTTGGCGAACGAGGTTGCCATACTTCATGGTGATTCCGTTATACTGCGGGTCACCATCCTTCAGGATCTGAAGTATGAGCTTAATCTGATGCTTCAGCAATCTTACAGCAGCTTCGGCCCTGTTGGGCCATGGTGTTCCAGGTCCTGTTGCTACAGGCTTGATATTCTGCCGATTGTAATAAGCCTCCATTTTTGGAGTCATGAATGCTTGATCTCCAACTACAACCTTTGGGTTGATCTGAAATTTTTCAAAGTAGTCATTCATAATCGACATTGTAGTATGTTCTTCTTTATCCTGGACTACTTCGGCAGTCAACAAGTTTGTTGCTCCATCATAGAGAATAAGAAATACTAAGCGACTATCCTTGCCGGGAATTGGAAGCTCACCGTGATCTACGAAGGTGAGATCACCGAAAGTCTCTGATCTTAGACCAGAAATCTTCGCTCTCGAAGGAGCTCTCACATGTTCCTGGCAGGCTGAACACTTTTTGACCAGTTGGTCATATAGCTCGTAGATCTCCTTTGGGATCTGTAAGGCTTTTGTGCGTCGCTTGAACTGATCCGTACTCATATGACGGTGCTTAAGGTGAAGCTTGTAGAGTTCTACAGGGTCCTTAAGCTTCTCATGAATCCTGCGAAGAGCAATGGGAAGAGATGGCGAAGGTTCTGCGACAATCTCTTCACCTGTTGGTGAGTCTGTGCCAGGAGCCGGGTATTCTCTTGACTCAAGTGGTCTTACCTCCGTCCCGTCATCAGCTCCTGGGACTGTAGACTTCTCTTCAACAGGAGGTTTGTCCGCATATTTGCGGGTTTTCTTCAGAAGGTTTTTAAGACCCTTTGGAGTCTTTATCTTCGCAGATGGAACCTCAAATCTTTCTTCTTCTGGAGGTTCATGCGGTGCAGAGGATTCTGCAGGTCTGTCTCTAGAGCCTGATGATGGTTCCGATGGTCCGGAAGGCTCAGGAACATCTCCAGATGATTCTGGTGGATCAAGTCTCTTGGCAGATGATTCTGCCGGATCAGATGGAAGAGGCTTCCTTTTCCCTGAAATCCTCTTCGGTGGTGGATCAGCTGCTCCCTCAGGTGCTCTGTCACAACCCTTGAGGTACGTGTGAGCCTTTTTCTGTCCGGCACAGGCTGGACAGCGACCTTCCGGTATCCTAACATAAGGCTTATTGGCTCCTAGAGCAGTCTCCGTCGCACGGAACGATGTACCTGACTTAGGAAGGTACTTCCTGGTGGAAGTAAAGCCTAGAAGGTCCAATACCAAATGGTTATTGGTACTAATCGGAAGAGGGGTTTTGTACAAACCGAAAGCTTCACACGTTGCTAGGTCAGCTGTTGGACTACACTCGAGGGTCATTCTTAAATTCCTCATCTGTTCGATGGAAAACAAAATGGGGACTCTTCCCTGATCCAAAACTTCTATGGTTGTATCTCTTCTTGGAGTTGTGTTAAACCATAGAGTTACACGCTCCTTGATAAGAGCTGTTTCACTATCTGCGAAAGAGAACTTCGTGTTCGAAGGTGAAAAAGTGAAATCAATCATGCCTGGGGCATGTTGCTTCACGGCCTTGATAAGCCTGTTCACCGCATAGCGGGAACCCATAGCCCTAGTACAACCAGAGTCAAGAATGACAAAGGTAGGGCTCTTATCAAGATTGATCCGCTCGGTGAGAGCAGATAGGACGGTGTGCTGCAACGGAAACACTGCTGTTGCAGTCTCCACACCTTGCCCCTCGGATGGTTCAAAAACCTGGGGCGCGTAACTCACTGATGAGTTGTACACGGGTTCTTGGTGCGCGCTCGGATCTGTGCCTCTACCTGATGATCCTGCTTGATTTCTTCTCTTCTTTCTCCGTGTCTTTCTTCGTGAGGCTTGTGATGCATAGTATGTATAAGACGTTTGATCGTCATAAGCGGCATAATTCCAACTGGAGTCAGTATAATAACTGTCCTCATACCATGAATCCCAGCTCGGTGCGGTGGAACTTTCATAGGCCTGTGGAGATCCAGTTTGGTCTCCTTGTAAGGAGGCAGACTTAGCTGTATCCTTACCTTTGCCTTTTGATTTTGTACCCTTGAAGGAGCTTCCTTTATCTCCTTTGTCCTTTCCTTTTCCTTTGCCTTTTCCACCTTTTCCTTTTTCCTTTCCTTTACCTTTACCGAAATAGCTGGAATCAGTTGGATCATGTTCTGCCTGGTTGGCTCTCCCTTTTCCGCGGTATGACCTAAAACGGCCACGTCCTTTTCGCTTGCCACCCTTTGCTCTTCCCGGTGATCCGGGACGCATTCTTGGTCTTCTTCCCTTTTTGAATCTCCTTGCAACGAAGGCTTCATGGTCGTCAACTGTCCAGAAGACAGCTTCTTCATCCTCGGCGGCAAGAAAGCCTTCCTCAAGGGTGTCTTCGTCTTGGAGCCAGAATCCATCGACTCCGTCGTATTCACCCTGATCGAGGATGAGGAAGTTTCGACCTCCGCGTTTGCGGCGTTGATCTCTCCTTCCATGGCGGTCCTTCTTGTGAGAAGTGTGCCGAATATTGGGATCCTGCAGACCAGTTCTGGTCGTTGAGAACTGATCGAACATGGTCTGCCGTACTATAGGGTACGTGTAGGTCTCAATTCGGTAACCTTGGTTGGTCAATGCTGTTACCAACCTCTCACGTTGCATCTCATTTAGGTCGGACTGCACTAGGAAGAGGAGAGCTAGGAGATTATCATTTAGAGGAAACGCTCTTCGATGATTATCAAGGCGTTCCTTGTTCCATGTTTCGAAGAAACGTGCGGCGTATGTGTCTCTCTCGGTTGCATCCTGTAGGCGCAAGAAGGTTTGATCTGCTTGCACAGCCTGCATGAAATCCGGATGGGCATCTTCCAGAATTATCTCTGGTAAGAGATCCATCCATGAGTTTCTCACGCGCTGTAGCACGATCTCAAACTTAGCAATCCAAGTCACAAAGTCTTGGTTGCCCTTCCATGCCTTGAATAGGCCGAGAAAACGCCACAGGAAAACGTACTGTTCTCCTTTCACGAAAAATGGACGCATCTTCTTCTTGAAGTAATCTACTCCGTCTGGGGCTGCAAGCCTTTCTCTGTTGAGTGATTCTTTTTGTACTGCGGCCAATCCGGAGAGCCTCGTCTTGAGAGACGGACCTCTTTTGGTATCATCCAGCGTTGTTATATCGCACCAGTCGTCAATCAACTGTTCATACTCAAACCACGAGGTGGTGCCATCATAGGCAGGCGCGATCTTGGGCGTTATGCCTAATGATGCAAGCATGCGGTCAGATGTTGCATATGACTGTGCGACATAAGTGGCTGGACCTTGGGAGGTCTCTTCGTTCTCATATCCCCCGGAGGATTGGGAACTGCCGTCGGCTTCGCTATGCGAGCTCGACATTGTGCTGCCTCTTATCCGCTTGGTTAAGCGTTCGGCGAGGCCGACCGCTGTAGCGGACTTTGTGAGGCGGGCGGCCCTTTCCGGGCTCCGCTACCAGAAAACTGTGCCGATACACCCCCAAGGGATACTCCTTGTGAGGAGGTGTATGACCAGTTATTCCCTAAGGATCAAAGGGCAGCGCCCTGCACACGGACAGTAGTTGTTTTGTCTTGCTACGCAAGGAGAGCTTGTCTTGTCTCAATATGGTAAAACCACTGTGAGCCAATGGGCAGCGGAATGTATATGTATGAGCATGCAGCCATTGCTGTAGGTACCTGTTAGAGCTACCCCTTTAGAGGTTTATGGTTTCACCCCCCCCTCTCCCCCCCTCTCCCCTCCCCCCCCCTCCCCCCCTTCCCCGTAAGACAGCCGAGGCGTACGTGGCCCTGCCCGACGGACGCACCAAGTACTTGAGAGCCTCGACAAATAGATACAAATGGTACATGAGCTCCCTGGGCAGCTTTCGAAACGGGTACCGTGGTCAAAGGTGACGTCGAAGCTGGCGACCAGATCTTGATGGTGGACCTGGGAAGGGGTGGCGGAGGAGCACCTGCCAGCCGCAGCACCTCGGAGCCACAACCTAGCATTTTTTCCGGTGCAAGGAGTCGTGTCAGGTGCAGTGACCATGACTCGGGTTTGCCAGTCACTAGTTGGGAAGCCGAAGGATTTGGTGAGCTTGGCTACCACTTGACACGGTTTGAATGCGCGACCCATCGGAGGTGTGAATGTTGGCCGATGCCAAGTGGAGAGGCGACAAGTTGCCCGAATTCGATTGCACTTTGATGGAGAGCACAGTTGCCTGATTGCATCCCACCCGAACCCTCCCGTGTTGTTGCTGCGCTACATAACCGACGGTTCTCGGTTATCGGCCCTTCAAGCATTCCTGTTGATTCTAGCCTAGCATCTCGCAAGGTCAGTTGTTTCTTGAGTGGATCGACACTGTTCGCCTTCATGGTCGACACGTTTCCTGGCCCACGGATAAGCGCTTGGCCGCTTTAGCTTTCGCTGTCTAGGATCCTGGTTTGCGAAGTCACATCTCAGCTCAGATGAAGGCATCCGGCGGTCCGGGCCAAGCATGCTCCCCGCTGCCAATCACGCAGCTTCGAGCAGGCTGGCTGCTAGGATTTTCATTCTTCCTGGAAGAGCAGCAAAGTGGCATCGCCGCAGCTGAGCTTCAGCAGTGTAAGCGGTATCTCGATGATGCAGAGGGCAGAGACTTCCGTCTCATGTGCAGGTGATGAGATCCTGGTCCATTGGGCAAGTTCCAGTCCGTCCCGAGCTGTACATACAGTGCACTCCATTCCGTCTGAGAAGTAGTCCCCGAACGTGCCAAGTACCCGATAGTTTGGAGGCAGTGCGCAGCTTTCGGAATCTAGATCTCAGATCTTGTGGCCAAAGAGAAGTCTGTAAGTTAGATATGAGCAGGCCGTGGAAGTTGCGCGCTGTCTTTGCGCATGGCTCACAAACCGGCAAAGCCGATCATCACACGATTGCTGAGCTAACCAGCCAGCGGATTCTTCTTCGCATGCTCGGAGGGTGCTTGAAATCAGGAATTACTTGCACCGGCCTTTTACATTCGCTGTAAAGTGCTCCTGTTTCCATGACTTCGGTCGTGACCCTTCCGTGAATGCAGGAGTCTAAGATGTCAGATTTCTATAGTTTTCAATCGAAACAAACGAGGGATCGACGTGCATGGCCACGAGTGCCACTCGTAGCAAAAACAGTGTGCGTGGGGGGTGGGGGGGGGGTGCGATGCAAGTTCAGGATGTGAAAGCCGGGTGGCATGCTGACTGGTCCATGATGTGCTTCTGAATGCTGTGCGGCAAGGCTTTGTTTGCCAGCCGCTGCGGAGGCAAGCTTAAGCGCCTCAGGACTGAGAGGGGCCTCGCTCGGCCGGCTTGTCAGGTTTCCAACCAAGTTGAGGTCCTCACCGTGGAGCGGCTGCGCATGCAGATGGAGGCCCGGCGTGGCTCGGGGTCTCGTGCACTTGGTTTGTCTTTGGCACCCTTGAGGATCTCCGAGGGCAGCCGGGTGCCAAGGCTCTCGGGACCGGGACTGCTTCGTTGCAGCTGAAAGTCCGAGGCTGCACCGGAAGGCAGCGTCAGAGGAGCGCGAAGAGGTGCGACCTTGGGCACAGACTTCCGGTTCCAAGTCTGTTTGCCGATGCCAGGCGGAGTTTGTCGCAAGAAAAGCTTTGGGGCGAGCCTACGGCAAGGCACGCCAAGTCTACAGTGAGCTAATGTCGGCTGAAGCATGCTGTTGCGCCACAGAGGTGCTTGAGGAAACAGTGCTTCCGGAGATTCTTTGCAGCAAATCTCGGCAGTCAGAGGCACGGACTCACTGACGCCTATTAAAAGCTTAGTGCATTTGCCAGAGCTGTTGCTGCCAGGTCGCTGGAGTGGCCGCACAGCACGTCTTGGGGAGAGCATACGACAAGGTGCAGTTGCTCGTTTGTTGAAGGAGTTGCTGGCGTGCTGGATTGCGAATGTTCTTGAGAAGGTGCTTGAGGACATCAAAGTCCTTCCCCGCGAGCCCAGCGGACGCCAAGATACCGTGGTGCTTGAGGCTGGTCAATTAGCTGCTTCGGTTCGGCTCCGCCATGTAAGATGCTCGGAGGAAAAGGTAGTCCTTCGATGGGTGCAAAGCTCAGCTTGCCAGGCCCAGTTACTGTTCCGATAGGAAGGACAACATGCCGAAGCGCAAAACCAAAACATGAGGTAGCTAAAGACACCGTGGTCCCGGCCCCAGGTATCATGTGGGTTTTGCTTCCTTTCAGATGTGGTTTGTTTCTTTGAGGCTAGAGCGGTGACGGGCGCGCTTTGCAGGCGCAGAGATGTCACGCCAGGTGGTTTCGTCATGTTTGCAAAGCCTATGCCCGTCAGGATGCTTCCAGTACCCGGTTCTGCCGCAGGCTTGGCTCTGGCAGACGCTGTTGGTTGCCTGGGCACAAACAGCCTTGGAACTGCCCTGCTGGTTCCTTTTGGGAACAACATCCGCGCCCATTTCGCCAGGCGAGTGCACAGCACGGATTCGCCAGGCAGGTGCGAATGATACGCAAATCAGGGAACCTCTGCATGCCAAATGCTCAGCTGCAAGTGTGGTGGGATGCTGGCCGGTGTGATGCCGGTGGGTGTGCCGAGGCTGCTGCCAACATGCTTTCCGACAGCAGGCACGCAGAGAGCTCTAGTTACGGTTCGACACGCAAAGTGGCCTGTCGCCCTCGTCACAGGGCCACGGCTGCTGATCCACGAGAACAGGAGGACGAGATGGAGATGACACCGACGAGCCATCAAGAAGCGGAAGCTTGTCACAGGGAGTCGGAGCTGGAAAAGAGCACCTGTTGGGGTTCCACGTCGCCAGGGGACCACTCCACGGACGGAACTGGGCACGAGGTTTTGTCTTCAGCCTCCGGTCAGGAACCTGGCATCGTTCCCATGCAGGTTCCTCCTGGCTGGGACGTGAACCCAACTTCCAGCGGCAAAAGCGACGGCGGGCCAAATGACTCGGAGCAGGTGGAGCTTGAGGATGCCGAGGCCCTCGCGGATGCAGAGGACCTTCAGCGTGAGCGAGTGGACAGGCGAACCAGAATGTGGAAGCTGCGAAAGATGCGGAGGGCGTGGCGCGTCTGGCGCACAGCCTGGGCCCAGCATGCTTCCAGCTCCAGGGAAGGCGAAGATGGCGAGGACGGCGAGGAGAGAGAAAGCGAAAGCGGGTTGGTCGAAGCGGTTTTGGACGCAGGCAACCAGCCAGCCGAGGTAGAAAGGTCGGTTGACAGCAGCGCGGAGGCAGATGTGCTCGAGACGCCTGAGCCCAAAGAAGCGAAGCCTTCTGAGTCTGAGGTTCTGGAACTGGAAGCAGATGCCACTAACACGGAATGCAAAGATACTCCGCAAGATGCAGACGTCGCTCGCAGCTCGTCGAGGGAGCCTGTGGGGCCACTGCCGCCAGACGAGCTTGAGGCGAAGGAGCTTCGGACGCCTCGCAAAGAGGAGACTCGAAGTGGGGATGCCCTGAAAGACGATACAGACCTTTCAGATGTGGAGCATCACGACGGGTCAGCTCACAACATTCCTCGCATCCGGAAGCCTTTGGCCCCGCCACTGGTTCCGTGCGGTGACATCGATGCGTGGAGCACAAGGCCCCAGCTAGACGTGGTGTTTGTGTTTAGAGCCTCGTGTACGACCAGTGCGACATGCGAAGTCGTTACTGTCTGCGAAGCTGCGCTCCGTGAGGAGACGTGGGCATCCTCACGGCCAGCAGTCTGCGTTTCTGCTTCGCGGCTGCAAAAGCAAGTTCGACTCAGAGTCAGTTGACCAAGACCTAGTCTACTGGTAGTCGAGAGTCGAGAGCCTAATTAGTTCTGTTGGCGGTTGGACGGCAGAGACCCCCTGTCGAGCGCAGCGCCGATAGCAGAGTGCGGGGAGTATGACCCCTCGAGTCTTTCTCTCTGAGAGCTGTCAAGCCGCTTGCTTGTGGGACTGGCGGGGCATCGCGCTATGGATGCTCAGGACCTCAGCTCGAGATTCATGCGCAGTACCGGTTCTTGCCTCAATACTATATTGCACATCGATGTCTGTGAAGTTGTGGATGTATTGAGGTTGCCGACAAAATTCGCGGCTGCCAGTTGATCCGTGCAGCCATGTGCAGCCAAGTTGCCCCAGTGTTCTCAAGAAGTTAGCGACTGCAGTAGAATGTCGTGCATGCTTGCGTGCCTCGGTCGGTAGATTCCAGCAGCATGGCTGCCTGCTTCGTCGAGGACGTGGAGGGGCTCGGGCGATGCCTTGTGGCCGGTCGCGATTTCGAGCCAGGGGAAGAAATCTTGATGGAAGCCCCGCTGCTGGCAGCAGATGCAGCTGACATCGAAGCAGACCTGGCAGATGCAGACTTGGCCAATGATGCAGAGAAAGCCCAGCCGTGGTCACGCGTGAAGGTGGATGCTGCTGCAGTCAGGCGACTGCTTGGATTGTTGCAGGCATACGCTCGCTCGGAGCCCGAAGTCAAGCGGGCAGTTCTGGAACTGGATGATACTATGGAAGCTGGGGCGGCGGCCTGCCTTGTTCGAAAGCTCGCTGCTCTCTTGTCGGAAGGGGGCTTTTGCCCGCGGATGCGCAAGATGGAACTGCACTGTGTGATGTCCCCTATCTGTCCTCATGCTGTATGTCATGTCCCGATGTTTGATGTAGACAGTAGGCATTGCTGCGTGGTTTCACTCGGACTGGTTTCTGAAACGTTCTTTCGCGGTAAGGAAAACCTTCTGGACCAACGCATTCCCATTTGGGAACGGGGGCTCGGCCCTTTTCCGCACCCTCTGCTACTGCGCTCACTCCTGCCACCCGAATGCCTTCTTCTACCATTGCTCCAACTCTGGGCATATAGTGAGCCTGGTGGCCGTCCCACGTGGATCCCGCATTGAGATTTCCTATGCCCCAAGACAGCCCCTGGTCTGCATCAAGTTGAAGGGATGCCGGTATAAGACTTGCAGTGCTGCCTTGCTAAAAGGTACATGCTGCTCCAACGTCGCCTCCGGCAAATCTTCATCTCTTCAACCCGAGGCTTTAGCTGCAAATGCTCCCGCTGTACCTTGGAGCAGGACATCGGGGAGGAATCCGAGGTCCACAGTGTGTCGCCACCGATTTGCTGTTGTGTCATGCCCTGGGTGGGACACCTGCTGCCCATGGCCCGCTTGGCCCTGGCCCTTCAACGCCGGGCTCTCCGTGTCTTCTTCATGACCACGAGCCTGGGGGCTCGACGCCTGCGTTCTCTCTTGGGCCAGGAGGCCTCTGAGAGGCTGACTCTGGTAGAGATCGAGGACGGGCTTGGAGTGGATGCTGAGCGAAGGCTCGCCTTTCAGCTCGAGGAGCCAGGCCGAGAGCCCGTTTTGGAGGCGAACTTGGCAGTTGAAGCCTTGGTGCAGGTGCAAGTGCAGCGCCTCATGGGGTTAGGGGTGCAAGACTTCGTACTGGACTGGCTCAGCTTTGGCTTTGTGAACAGTATACGTGCCGGCGGGGGGCGATACTGTGTGTCAATGCCTGGTTCAACTTTTCAGGCGGAGTTTTGTGCCGAAGGGGCGGCATTTGAATCGGAAAACTATGCAAAAACACAGGACGCTATCCGGAACATGCTGGAGGAAACCAGGATTTTCGTTCACAGCCTTCCGAACATGGTTTGCAACAGCCCTGAACCTCTTAGTGGTCAGATCACTTGTGTGGGCATCCTTGCCAGTGCTCTGCAAGCTCTACCACAGGATGCGGAAGCATTTCTCACTTCTGCGGGCCCTCCTGTGGTGTATGTATACCTGGGATCGTTAGCATGCTTGAGTGCGATGGAATTGGAAGAGTTGTGCAAGGCACTTTCCGTACCCGGCACGTTCCGAGTCATATGGTCTTTGCCGGAAGATTGGCAAGTGCAGCTTCCCAGATCCGTCACGGCAAGTGAGGATTTTTTCTTGTCCCAGTGGCTGCCGCAGGCTTCGATTCTCGCACACCCTGCATGCTCCGCGGCATTAATTCATGGAGGCTGGGGTTCGCTTCTGGACGCGATCCAGTTTGGCAAGCCCGTGGTCGTGCTTCCGATCTTTGGCGACCAGCCCCTGAATGCTCAGATCGCCGAGTCGATGAAGCTCGGCGTCGCTCTTCCGCTTCCGCGCAGTGGGCGGAGCTGGAGCTGGAAGCGCATCCAAGAGTCGATCCAGGCGGTTCTGCAGACTCCTTCCTTCTCCGAAGCGGCCCGAACATGGCAGGAGGAGGCGGCGAAGTTCGGGGGTGCGGATTACGCTGGCGAGGTGGTGACGGGTCATTTTCGGCGGGAGAGGGAGAAGTCTAGAGAAAACCGGAGAGAACTCGAGGTTGCCGTTGTGGAGTTTGCGGAAGATTGGCGCCCACTGAGTTTCGAGGACACGGATGCAGATGAATCAGATGATCTGTTGCCAAGGGGTGCTCAACTAGAGATACTGCTCGTGCAGAGTGCCATGCTTCTCGGACTTGGCGATGAGATAACGTGGTGGTTATTGAGGCTTCGCGTCTACAGGGATTCTCAGCGCTTTCTTTGTCACGGAGAAGCTGTTCTTCGAAATCTGGAAGGACGGGATGTGGTTGAGCTGGTTGCTTTGGCCGGGGCTGTTCACAACAGGCTGTTGGGACAAGGCGTCCCACTAGGGATTGCTTCTCCCGTTCTGAATGGGGAGCCACACCGGCCGGCCGATTTTTCAGTGGCATGGCTTGCGTCTCGGAGCATGCTGCACGGCATCGTCGACAGAGGCGACATTGCATGGAGAGTTTGCGACGTCAGCAGAGTTGCTTCGGGTTGCCTTTACACTTGTCCCTGGTAGGTGCATGCGAAAGCATCTCAGAAGCGAAATCGGCTATGGCTGGTACCATCGCAGGCATCGGCAAGGAGGGATTGGTCCATGTCTCCCTCCTGGGCGGGCAAGTTGCAGCAGAAGTAGCATTTTCATCATGCCTGCCGAGCCCAATCGAAACTGAACATGCTTTGGACCCTTGTCAAAGGCACGCCAGTCGTGCGTAAGTACGGAATGAATGCGCTTGTTTTTAGGGTAGCATTTGCAATTGGGGCTTCGGCCACGTTTCTACCGACGGTTATGCTGAGGATGCAATCCTGGATGCAGCAGCAGTTGCCCTGCGATCGGAGTGGTGGCGCTAGCCGCCAGGGTGCCGATAATGACGCATCGCAGCTGACGATGTCGCAGACAAAAAGGGTAAGGCCATCTGCATCTGCACAGGCGTGTGCCGAAGGCCAGGTGCCTTAGGTCACTGGAAGTATGTTCTACGTCGAACCAAGGACCCGCAACCTCGTCGTTCGGCTTCCGCACCACCTGAGCGCAGAAAAAGAGGACAGCTTCTTTAATGTTTGTCAGACAATTTCCGGACGGATAGTTCTCTTTCAGGACGCAGGCACAAGATTGTCCCTCGTGTTATCTCAACAGGCCAGAACAAGGTCGGCCAGGACAGGCTGTCAGTCTCTCCCTCGCCTGCTCAAGGTCTTGCGACTGCACCCACCTCTGCTGTCCATTCGCCCAATTCCGTCTTCCCGACGCGCTGCACTTGGAGAGAACGAGCCCGCTGGCCACAGAACGCGGAGCCCATGCGTGGTTCACATCGCTTATGCTAAGGCCGCTACTGCCAAGAGAGCGGTCCCAGGCTTTGCTCTCCACGCTTGCTGCGGCATTTGCGTCCCGTTCAGAGTGCTGCAATACATGCACAGATTCGACTGGATGCGCAGGCCTCGCGGGCGCTTGCACCCGAGCGTGGCCGTGACCGCCGAAGCAAGTCCGTGACCACGGTGCCGCACTTGGAACATGTTCTGCGCAGACGGATTCAGTTGAAGCTAGGAGAAGGGACGAGCAGCGGGCAGGTCCCTGCAGGGATCGGGAGTCTGGTACATTGAGAGTTGCTAATTCTAGTACTCTTCTCGATAGTCGATAGTTGCTTTCCAAAAATCCTCGAAGTGTGGGGTCACAGTGTTCATGGGAGCGAATGAAGACCAGCATGGTGAGAATGATTAAGGTCACCGCCGTCTCCGCGTGGTAGCTGTGAGGCCCTGAAAAAGTGCCCATGACCATTGCACCGCCATCAGATGGCCATCTCGCAGCGAAGTCGATGTGTTCGGGTCAAGTGAAGCTCCTCCAATGTCAAAGACTTGGTTGCGTGCATCGCCAAGACTCAGCAGATCGAGAAAAAGTTTGTCAGTCGTCAAGCTCCGCGCTTTCAAACTCACGAGCATCAGCATGACTACTACACGGTGGACACTGTGAAAGAGAATGGGGCATCGGAGTGCACCTCGAGTTGGCACGTAGAATTTGGGCTCAAAAGAGACCAGGGCTCAGACGTGCTGAGAATGGCTTGTGTATGTAGCATCGCCGGCACCCATCGGGCAGCCCATCCGGCCCCAGTGCAGCATTTCCCGTCGCACGCTTGGCGCACTCCGCCGTGGGGTGCTCTTCGGAGATTCGAAGAGATTGCAACGGTTACTGCATTGGTGGCAGGGTTTCTGCGCACGCGGAGCTTCAGGCTGGGGAGATGCTGGAAGCTCGAACGCTTTCTCGGCACTTCCTCTCTCTCTCTCTGTCTCTCTCGGTCTCTGTCTCTCTCTCTCTCTCTATGTCTGGTGCCCGCTGCTTCGCCATTTTCCAGGCAAGTGGCCTCCAAAGATGTTGCCAACAGCTTGTGTTCGCGTCGGGCAGTGGCGCAGCTTGTCCCAACACTTGCAAGTAGATTTAACTCAAGGGTCAGAGCATGTTTTGCCGGCAGATCGAAGGCACAATGCCTTTCAACGCCTTCGGAGAGCCGGAGATGGGAAGAATGGCAAGGAACTGTTGCGGCACTATGTGGCGGCCATCGGTGCTTTCGCAAAAGCTGGCCAGCCGGAGAAAGCTGACGCGTGTTTTCAGGAAATCAGCGCCGCACGCCTTGATCCCGATCTGTTTGCATACACCGGCATGATCAATGCGCATGCCCGGACTGGAGATGTGGCAGGGGCACAAAAATGGTTCCAGGACCATCAGATGCAAAGCTGTAGAGTCGGCCCTTGCAAAGTGACAGAGGTGGCACAGTCTGCAGAGTGTGGTGTTCGTGTGCCCACGAGGATTTGATGGATGCTGCTCTACAACCTGACACTGTGTGCTACAGCAGCGTTCTCAATGCTTGCGCTCAGGCTGGCGCAGCACAGCTTGCCGAGAGTTGGTTGCTCAAGATGGGTTCGGCAACTTGGCTCTGGCCATCTTAGCTTTCTGAGCTCTCAGTTGCTTTGAGACGGTAGCCGCAGCTTCCAGCCTGCTCTGCTGAAGGCGCGTGTGCTGGTGAACCAGGTGGCGTACAGCACCGTGATCAATGCCTTTGCGCAGGAAGGGGACGTGAGCTCAGCGGAACGCTGGTTTAATGGCATGGTCCAGGATCGAATATCCCCGAACACTGTGACCTTCTGCAGCATGATTAAAGCTGCAGCGAACAACGGAGATGTCGAGCATGCACGCCTGTGGCTTGAGTCGCCGCCTTACTTCCGCATAGTCTACCGGTCCACCGAAATTTGCCCGGATGATGGGAAGGCTCAGTGAAGGCTCTATACCCGTTGAGACCAGCTGAGACCAAGGCGCTTGCTTGCTGCAGAGCTGGATGTACCACCACTCGCTTTCAACACTGCGATCAATGCCTGCGCAGCAACCGGCGATGTGACGAGTGCAGAGCAGCTCTTGAGTGACATGCGACGGCATTTCGTGGAAGACACCTTGGACTCTCAGATGCATTCGATCCCAACAATTTCCGTGCTCAAATACGGAAACCGAAAACCAGGTGAGCATTGCGTCGTTTGCTGCATGTGGCCTTGCTAAGTTTTTTCAGTCGTAGAATGTCGAAAACTCATCGTTCTGGTTGTGTGGACCGCCTCAAGGTAACATACAACAGCCTGGTAAAGGTGAGCACCGCCACGGGGGATATGGATTCTGCGCAGCGCTGGTTCGACATGCTGCTTGCACGGCGTCTCCACCCCGACGTGCAGACCTTCAACAGTCTCCTCAGCTGCGGGGCTTTTCGTGGAGACGTGCAAGCATGTGAGAAATGGTATCAGCTGTTGGGAACATGGCGAGTGGCACCGGATACCATCACTTACAGCACCATGCGTACGGCCTGCGCCAGACGTGGTGATTATGCTAAGGTTCGGCATTGGTTGAACATGATCGTTCGTCATGATGATAAAGCTCGCGACATGTGGACTGCAAGGGGCAAGACCGCGACAGATCCTTTCTCAGAGACCGGTAGCGTGATGAAAAGGGCATTGTACCGTTTTCGTTCGCAAGGAGACGAAACCACTGCAGAACATCTCGAACGGGCTTTGGAATACCAGTGGCTTTATGGGTATCCTCGCGTCCCGGACTACGAGAAGCAACTAACGCATGGAGCTTACAAGTACATGGCGGGTATGCAGCCGATGACTGCCCGAGAGATCTACCGTCTGATTCCAGAGAGCAAGACTGTCCTTGACACATTCTGCGGCTCGGGGACTGTTCTTGTCGAGGGCCTCGTGGCGGGAAAGCAAAAGTGCATCGGAAGCGATACATCGCCCCTGGCCATCTTCGTGTCTACGCATCACACAGATGCGCATCGGCTTTCCCTGAAGAGCTTCGTCGAAGAAGCCGAAAAGGTTGCAGCTGATAAAGGCTTGGGCTGGACGAGCTTGCGTGATCGGATCCGGAGCATATCGCAGGAGGGTGTGACGCCGGAATTGCGGGATGGGCTTTGGTTTGCGTTTGCCGTGGCTTGGCGTTTGGCACGGAGTCCGTTTGTGGGCGAAGATCCCGGCAGCGTCAAGGAATCGGAAGCAGGGGATGCTAGGTCATACTTCCTTTCGACGGTCTATCGCTTTGCACACCAACTGCGCGAGCTGCGGGATGAACTCTGTGGCCGTGAGCAAGCCGTCGAGCTTCATTGCTGTGATTGTCGAAAGCTGGTTTTGCAGGAGGAGGTCCAGTTGCGTTTTGCTTTGCCCGTTTTTCGTGTGCCACCCATGTTCTGGTCCTAGACAAGGTGGATGCCATCATCACCAGCCCGCCATATCCCGGGGTCTACGACTACTTCAAGGCTGGGCGGACTATGTCTCTGTGCATTCGACCGTGCAGTTTGCAGATGCCTCTTCTCTCGTCACAGTGTATAGCCTAGTCTCACCTATTCGATGTGCAAGTTTCGTGCGTGGTAGAGGCTGCAGCTGCCGATTGTCGCGAAGTGGCTGGTGAGGCTACTGGCCAGAGTCACGCAGATGGCGGGTACGGTAGGTTGGGCTTCTTGGAGGAGTGCGTTGGCGCCGTCGGCGCTGGGATTCCTGGATTCGGCGGTGATGGAGCGACATCGGAGCTGGGTGCTGCTTCTCTCCAGCCCAAGTCGTTGTCGCAGGCCAGGATGCAGTGGCAGTCGCAGCAGGAGGAGTGGCTTTCAGCAGCATATGGAAACCTGCGCATGGGGGGAACTCTGACAATCATGGTTGGAAACGGCGATGCTCTGGCGGAGAATGCCAACGAAATCGATTGCCTGCAGTCCACACTGGACGCCGCAGCTGCCCTGGGCTTCAAGCTTGCCAGCCCCTTAGAAAGTTGAGTTGTGTATCATGCAGTTGTCACAAAAGCTCTCCCCAGGGAGCTTTTCGTGTCAATAGCCAGAACTTGTTGTGCCTTAAGGCTTTGGGTGGGTGTCCGAGAGTGGTGTTTCAGACAGTCTTGAAATGCAAAACCGAGCCCCCAATGGTGCTCGTTATGCTCGCCTGCCGGCTGCGATTGGGACCCCAGAGATGCTCATGATGCGCTTAGCGTCTCCGTGTGGGTGCTAACGATGCCTGGCTCAGACTTGCAACACCAGAAGCATCAACAGCAACAGTAACTCCCCAGGTTCCGATTGGGCACCCCATGATGCTGACGATGCTCGCTTTGTTGTTGTGGCTCTGATTGGAACCAACAATAACACCCATAATGGTCGCCTTCCGGCTTCCTTTCCCGCTTCACATGGGTGCTAGGTCCTGGCAACGGTGTTTTGCGAACATCGGATGCTCGCATGCTACGCGGCCATGCTCCACGTCGCCTCGCTTACTTATGCATTAACCAACTCCCAGGCGTGCTCCCCATTCACTCACCCTGCAGCCGCAGCCCAGACCGCGTACGTCCTACAAAGGCCCTCGAAGCCATCATTCTCGATGTCTTCAATGCCCCCCCCGCCTTTCTGAAGCCACCCTTTGGATTGCCTTCTACGTCCTGCCCAATCGCGAGCCCTCTTTGGACCGCAATGTCCCCTGCTCCACTGCCAGACCAGCTTCAGCGCCTGGATGCTTGCACGCCACTCTGCAGAACCTACGTGACCTGCTGCGCTGGGGCTACACCGAACCTGTCACGCATCCTGCAGACCGTGGCTATGAAGCCCACAGACACATCCACAGTTTCACGTGCACTCCAGTGTTGTCTAAGCCCCTAGACAACAGGGTGGTTCCTTCTGGAGAACTGCCTCACATCTAGAACACAACACCAAATTGCCAACTCCGAAGACGTCGCACCTCTCCCAAAACAACCCTATGCAGCTAGGCTTTCGTCGCCCAGCCAGGTCTGAAGATTGAAACTGAAGGCGATGGTTGATTTCCACGCTTGACAGTCCCTTGCATTGCAGGTGGCTTCCTCCACAATTGAGAGCTGTGCGGACGATGCTCACCAAACAAAGGGGATGGTGCGGACGGAGCATATGATTCATTTAATCAAGCCGGCCGAGCCGACGGTAGGGCAGCCTGTGCAGGCCGAATAGCTGCATGCCTCTGAGATGGTTGCACGAAGAATGCTGGGACACCCAGCCAAAAAAGCATCTTGCATGCAATCTTCGTGCTGCATGAAGGTGAAGGCAGACGGTCACATCATCTCTGAAGTCCATGGGCGATCCGATTTCGAAGTGTATGATTACATGTGGCTCTTAAAGAGACTACTGTTAGCTGTTAGAGGCTCTGCTAGGCTAGGGTCCTCGCACTGGCAAGCATGTCGACAGCCTTGCGGCTTCCTGCACAAGCTCAATGG